AGGGACGGAGAGCCCCTGTGGCACACCGCATCCATCACGTCGGCACGCGCTGTCGGGTTCGCTTCATTCAGGACGACTTTTTTTGCCCGATGTTCCGAGTGGAGGGGTCGCCCGTGTCGTACGTTCTTTTGGATGAGGGGCCGTTCAGTATCCGCCTTGACAGTGACGTTTACATGCCAATTGTAGCCAAAATGGAGGTGAACGGAAGGCTGTTCAGCAGCGAATACCGCATCTTGGCAAACGGGAGCCGAATTGTGAGGGAGGTTCACGAGCACCACATCGCGACAAGGAGGAATTTTATGTATCGTTCGCTTGTCGTCTTTGATAACGTCTTGCAGCGGGAGGTCACGCCGGGAGAAATGGAGTTGGAAACCGTGGAGGAGGCAGATGAGTTCACATCCCTGATCCGCGTTCTCTTTCTTCCCGTGAGGGGAGGAACGACGGCAACGCGTGGGGGCTCGTGGAGAATAAATTACAAAAGGGAACCCTTAGCAGTGGAAATGGTTCGCATAGGGCACAGAGCTCTGCTTGCAAAATTATTTGGCGTCCAACTGAATACGCTTGTGAATTCGATGCAGCAGGCATCAATCAGTAAAGCATCGTCAAATAGCCGGCCACCCTCTCGGGCCGGATCGCCGATGTGCACGGGGACATACAACTCAAGAAGGGTAAGAGGAAGCGACGCTAATATATTTTTGCCTGTTCGTAGCAGAAGCAGTATCAGCGTAAGCAGCAGGCCGCCCTCACGATCCGTCAGCATGGAGTGTGGAAGTCGATTTCAGGCATCTTCACCTACGTGTCTCCTGAAGTCATCCGGCGGTGTGCAGAGTCTTCGGTCGCATGGGCAGCATGCGTCATCTGGTGGGATTTGTCCCGCCGCGCGATCTCCATCGCCACGCGGGGGACGGAGTAAACCGGAGACGGAAACCATGTCGACAGGATCGCTTAATTCACCCCCATTGCCTTCTGTATTAAGTATCAAGCCAACGCCTAGGGTCAAGCTTCCTCCGCCGCTGCATCCACACTTAGGTGGGAGCAGTCGTTCTAGCAGCCCTGCTGTGGCGGGTAGAGAGAAATTTTCTTTCAGTCTCCAAAGCCACAATATCCCTAACGGGAAGAGGGTTGTGGAAGAGATTGACCGCAACCATAACTCTTACCATATTTGTGTGAAATGCAACGCTGTATTTGATAGGGAACGTCTTCTGTACAACCAAATAGTCACCCGCCTCAAGGAGAAGGTGTTTTCTCTCGAGCAGGAAAACGCAAAGCTGCGCATGGGCTGCAGCGATGCATTTTTCGTTATTCGTCGAACAGGCTCGGACGACCAATCAGTGGAAACGTCGCGTGTCGAAGATTTAGATGCAACGCTTTCACCCTCACGCATTGTAATATCATGAGGTGGGGGTGGGGGAAGGGGAACAAGGTAGAGAAATTTGATGACAACATTATCGCCAGATGCGTCCTACGACACAGTTACAAGTAAACGACGGTGCTGAGAGTCATTTCCGCTCTTGTCCGCATGACACAGTTGTTGTTGAGCAAACCACAGGCCTAACAAAGTCAAGGAAAAAGAAAAGAAAAAAAGGAAAGCAGGCAATTATTAAATATTTGAAAAGAAAGAAAATGTGGTCATTGTTTTTTGCTTCCCCACCCTTTCAATGTTGAAGCCTTAAGCATCCGCTTGGCTGAACTTCTTTGGATGACGGAAGTAAAGCATATTTTATTTTATTTTGTTTTGTTTTTTTACATTTGCTTTTCTATCAGTTTACTTTTATATTTTGTGGATTTCAGCCTTTCCTGTGATAGTTCCATATTTTGTTGTTGCGGTGGTGGTGGCTTTTGTTCGCTTTTATTACGTTCACTATCCACGCCTCCCGCAGTGTTGTTGAGCGTATACTATGCCTCTCCATGCATCACAGTGACTTTTTGAACTCTGTTCCTGATATTGGTGGTGGAGGTGGTGGAGAGGAGTGGCGCATCATTTCCAGTGATATGTTACTACCCATCTTTTTTGTCAGTCCAGGTCTATTGTGGCGCCCTAACCCCGAGGTTCGGTGAGGTGAGTATTATACCTGCGTGTTTGTCTGTGGGTGTGTTTTCCCTTGTATTTGATTTCTTTCTGTTTATTGTTGTTGTTGATTTGCAGTGCATTTTGTATCGCCTTCCGTCGTCGCCGCGGGTTTCTCTACGGCAAGTGTCGTTTTATAAAAACGCACGTCCGCGAGGTGGTGTGGTGTGCAGGAAGGAGAAGAAGAAGAGGGAATTAAACGATTTAGAAGGAAGGGGTGGAGTGGTGTTTGGCGTCGTGGAGGGGAGGGAAGTGGGGCGATGGTGCTTTGTTGCTGTCAAAATGAAGAGGATGCTGTAGCCGACAAGCGAGTGGAGGTTTCACAAATGGAGAGGAAGGGGTTGCGGAGATGTGCGCCGCCCAAACCGATTTCACAGACAGTTCAAGAAACGGCAGTTCAGGTAAATGTGTATAGTTTGTTGGAGCAGAACAAGCAGCTGAAGAAGGTGGGTATGGGGGTCTACCACTGTGGCGTTGTTGTATACGGCATTGAGTGGGGGTACGGTGAGTGCGTCGAGTCCGCGAACGCATCGGGGCTTTTTTGTGTGTACCCGGGGCAGGCCGCCGGTACACTTTACCGCACGCTTTTCTTGGGCGTCACCACGCACTCCCCGCAGCAGGTTGACACGATTCTTCACAGGCTGGAAAATGAATGGCGGAGTAGTGAATATCATATTCTCAACCGCAACTGCAATCACTTTGCTCAGCGGTTCTGTGAATTGTTGTCGACGGTGCAGAAGTTACAAATACCGACGTGGTGCAATCGTGCGGCACGTGTGTGCAATAAGTTAGTTCCAAGGAGGTTAGCCACTTACGTCCATCGTTTGATTGAGGAGGAGGCTCCAAAGGCCTCACCGCCGGATCGTTCACGTGTCAGGGAGATACCAGAGTCTGTGATACCGCGGGATTGGTACCTCCACCCCTCCATCTCTCAAAAGCCCCGGTATGTCATTCCGTTTGAGTCTCGGAATTCTAGGCCTGATTTGAAGGCGCCAGCGAAGCAACCCGTCGGTCCCACTGCAGGGGTCGCAACCCGCACGGACTCGGATGCGAGTTTGAAGGACATCATGACGACTCCCCCCATTTCAAATGGCGGTCCGTTACAGAGCGCATCTCCGGCCGTTGAACGCTCCGTACTTCCGGAGATTCCGTTACCGTTAATGCATGATTTGAATGAAGTTTGCTTCTTCACGACAGGGCATGGTGTGTCGTTTCGAAGTCACGATGACACAACACCTTCTGCCGCTTCTCAGGTGAGTTTTGAGACCCGGAGAGAAGTAGAACATAACGTGCAGATTGAGAGTCTGAATTCCCAAGTAAGCATCGCCCATGTGGGAATACTGGGCTCTGAGGAGGAGCATACGGAGGCTACTGACAAACTTATCCCCATTGCTGATAGTGTCCAGGGGGGTATAAAGGAGGGTGCAATGCAAGAAGAAGAAAAAGAACCCACTGCATTGTTTCAATCCATACATATGGATGAAATGGACGTGAAGAGTGCATTGACTCGATTCACAGAGGAAGATGCGACGCCTATTACTTGTTCATTACCAGTAGTAGCTCTGCATAATGATGAGGATGACAATAATGATAATGATGATACCGCAAAGGAAGAATTGAAAAAGGAAAAAGAGAAGGAGCGGTTGGTCAATGACAAATATGATGCCAGTTACCACACAGAGAGTATAGAACCCTGGCAGACATCAATCAAAGGGAATAAATTATTCTGTAAACCGACAATCTTTTCAAAAAGTTTAGAAGATAACTCAAAAATAAATGCAAAAAAGATGGCCTTAAAGAATCTTGTCAGAAGATCGTCGTACTCTTGGGATATGTTTTCTAGGGTTCCACAGGATACCGCGGGGTGTACAACAAAGATGGTGAAAGATGACTTGTGCCTCTTTCTCCTGCAAACGGAGAAGAGGGGAACTGTGTCAACAAATGTCGGATCTTTTTCAGAATTAGACAGAAAACCTCCATTGGATGATGTGGAAATGAACACAGTATCATCTAGCCCTATCTATAGTGACCCTGAGGGTGACGATGAAAAGCATGATGCCAAGTTGGGTGATTTAGGTTTATGCTTCGTAACGCGGGAGAGGATTTCAGAAGATGTGCTTTCGAAGACTAAATCCAGTGCGGGCGCTTTCAATCCATTGTTGCATTTGTATGGTACGCCAGCGTTGCGGAGAAACCGCTCTTGGCCTCCTTGAGGCGTTTGGTAAAAAGGAGGAGCGGGGGAGAGGGAAAGCTTGACAATATCTTGTTTGTTGTTTTTGTTGTCGTTGTTGCTTTTCAATTTTTTTTTTTCTTCCGCATCCCTTTTTTCTGCTGCTATTTCTGTGTTTTGTGCTTGTTTGTTTTTCCCCCCATTTTTTTTTTTTTTTTTTTTTTGGAGCTGTGTGAAAGTTGTGGGGGGGGGGGGAGAAGGGGAAGGAGGAGGAGGCATTCGGAAATGAAATGTTGCACAGTTCTTTTGTTTTAATTTGCTTTTTTTTTTTTTTTCTTCTTTGCGCGTGTGTGCTTTTCCCCCTCTTGCTGTGGTATCGCCGTGTTTGACGTGGGCGTGACGTTAGTGCGGGCTGCCGCGGCGTACGCCAAATAAACAGACGAAAAGAAGGAAGAAGAAAAAAAAAAAGAAGAGAGAGAGAGGGAGAAAATGCCCCGGGGAGTCAGAAATAAAAATAATGAAGAAAAAGGACTAAGAGGGAATCCACATGTATTTATTTAAGTAACTGCTGTTAGCGGGGGGTTGAGTTGGGTGGACAGAGGAATGGAGCACACATTGGGAGGAGAGGGAGAGTGGCTTGGAGGACTGGATGGCTGACAAGATGCAGGAGGCGGTTGGGTGTTCTGCCGGCACGACAGAAGAATTTGTCGATTGCCAAACTGCGCTTTTTTTCTCTTTTTTTTTTGTTGTTGTTATTTTGTTTTCTTTTTGTTTTCTTTTTTGCTTTTGGGCCGCTGCGCCCTTCAAACGCAACGTTAACTCCCGCTTCCTCTTTTTGTTGTTTCTTTCGTGAATCCAACGGCAAAAGGCACGGGGGCGTATAAATTTGTGTCATTTTTGCGAGCGAGTGATGCGACGTGGCGTGAATAATGAAATAATGGGGAGTTTCTGATGGTTTTTAACGTTTTTTTTTGTTGTTGTTGTTGTTCCTTTTTTTTTCTTTTTTTTTTTTTTTTGCTTTGCTCCGCGGTGTGTGCGTTTCCCTTTGTGTAGAGTCCCTGGAAGAGGGAGTTGTGCCGGTATTATTTGAGGCATGTGCCCCCGTACGTGTGTGAGTGTACTTCGATGCTTATTTGGAGGATCACGGCGATGTTGTCCTGTTTTTTGTGTTGTTGTTGTTGTTGTTTTTTGGTTTCTTTCTTTTTTTTTTTTTTTTTATGTCGGTGTTTTTGTTGTTGTTTTTTCTGTTTTTTCTCCATGGACGTCCTGGAGACTTTTTCTTCTTTCCCCGCTTGTCATGACCGTTTCACCTCAACCGGAGGTGGTGGAGGTGGAGCAGGGCGTTGGTAGTACCACACACACACACACAAAAGTACATCTCGGGGGGAGGAGGCGGTGTATTGACGGTCTGTCTGCCTGCCGCGGATGAGTTGGCTGAAGGCGATAGAGAAGGTGTGCGCTCGGGTCGCAGTGGGTCCCGCCGCACAGACTTCTCTCGTTTCAAGCTTCGCTGTGGCCGGCCGCCTTGTGCCAGCGGTGAATAGGGACGGATGGCAACAGAAACAACAAGAAAAAGATGAAGAACACACACCGGCGACAAGGGAGGCAGAACCGTCAACGGCTGCGCTTCATGGCGTCAGCGACACGTGGAGTAGTGCCCTGGCGGTCATTAGGTTCTCTCAATCCGGCCCACAACGTGACATTGCGTGGCAGATGCACCACCTTCCACTCCCCCTTGCGGCGCAGTGTGTGGCAATTCTGTTTGAGGCCGGACAATTTGCAATGGGAGTGGAATTCATGCACTCATGGCAGCATCCGGAGGCAAGGGACACAATCCGCGCAAAGTCACGGGCAACGAAT